GGGGGGGGAGGCAGTAAGCCCCACCTCCCCCACCTTTGGACCGCGGGTGCCACAGTCCCGCGGTCTCCACCTCTCCCTTTTAGTCGCCTCTTACGACAGGCAGGGATTACCGTGGCCGTATTCTCTATTCCCCGGTCCACAGGGATCGACCATGGTCCCTTCTTAGTTTAACGTAGTTCACAAATTCACCGTTCTCATAACGTAGAGGGCAGCAGAAAATCCCTGACTTTTTACACTATCGGTATTTCAGAACATGAGACACGAAGTCCCATAAGATGTAGGTCTATCCTATACCTAGTCGGTGCTCGTACGAGCAACAACGATAAAGGATCACGTTTTAAAACTCTTGCGCATGCTCCGTGGGTTCTATGACCCCACGTCTCACACACGGGGTCTCTGGTGCCTCCATTGGGGGTTCTATGATCCTACGTTCTCACCATACGGTGTCTCTGGCGCCTCCACTAGGGGTTCTATGACCTCACTTTCTCACCACACGGGGTCCTTGGCGCCTCCGCCGGGGTTTCTATGACCCCTCGCCACAACACACGGTGTCTCTTACGTATACGTTACCAATTCATGTAATTTTTAGAATATTGATATTAATTTATGAACAGAGACTATGGTTTCACAGGTTTCGAGGTTGTTGGTGAAAATTAATTACGTGCTTATTATTGTCCCAGATAGCACACAGGCGGCTTCACCACGACTTAAAGACGCCTGTTTCAGTCGTTCCAGTCGCCTTTCAAACGTCTTAAATAGCTTACGAACAGCTGAGGCACAGCTTCTGACCGCGTAATGTGACAAATCAAGGCGCCTTCTAGGCGTCTTAAACAGGCTTGGATTAGGACTGAAGCAGTCGTTTCAAATACGCAATTCGTTGTATTTATCGAATTTAAATTAGGTCAAATGCATCTCTTTAAAAATCGCCATTAGCACATATTAAAAATGGTTATCGATACTGATTAATTGTAATATATATTTAATGAAGGAAAGCGTTATCAAAATGAAATCAAACTTAATAACAATTCATTTCGATTTACTATACTTATTTATTTAAAATTTGATCACATTTATTTTTATTATTATTATTATTACATACCATGCTTGGTAAAATACATCATCCACTGTGTGTTTACAAGGATTGAAGAGCTATATATTAATATAGCAATTATTATATAATTCAGCAGTGTCACTTATTTTATTTTTTTAACAGATTCAACAAAATATAATTATCTCTTTAATCACTGATATTACTCATAAACAAAATTATTACGAAGATTTTATTAAATTTTTATTTGATTTTACGCCTTTATACAGAATGTATATTCGAATATAAGAAAGTGGTAAAATATAAAACAAGGCCAGTGAATAAAATAGGTGTAATAAAATAAAGGAAACAATAAACAAATATAAAAAAATATTATTCAAATATTACAAATAACAGAACTACCAGAAACATAAATGTACATTACATGTGTAACTTATATAATAGAATTATATTATATGTATAACTAGTTCGTGTTGTATATATGTATATATATGTAATGTGTGTAGTATACATATGTATGTAAGTATAGATCCGTAGAACAATTGATTACTGAAGAAAACTACAAAAAATTGACGTCATTATAAATTTAAGTTGAACAATTGAATTTACTTTGAAATGAATGATGATGTTAATACATATAGTATAAATATATGTATGTATGTACATACATATCTACATACATAATTTATAATGTTCAGTTCTTGTGCAGAAAAGGAGAAAAGGTTAGGATGAGAAATGGTTTGATATTTATGTATGTACTTAGATGCCAATAGAATATGTACATATATAAGATGCTATCTCCCTATTTATGTTATCTCATATGATAGAAATATATATACATACATATATATTATTTATGCGTAATCTTAAAAGAAGTATTTTGAAATTCAGTTTCGTCGCGAATAGATTCCGGCAACTGTTACGTAAGTTACATATATAATCTTTGAACAAAACTAGTGAATGTCAAATATTTAAATTTACACAAGTATTTTTTCACAATTGCATGAAACGTTCATAATTCAAACAATTCAAAACAGTGTTTGAATGATTTAAATAACAAAGTAAAGAATTTGTACCCTATAACCCAACCTCTGGATCGCGTTTTAGTTTCGCAGAAAGATAAGTCAAGTTTTATGATGCAACATGATACGGACCTTGGTAAAACAGAATGGAATCTTCTTAAAATATTTGATTGTTCACCGCAATGTAAATATGCAGTAATTATATTGAATCGTCCACTTCATTGGAAACATGACATTTTATTTAGAATTTGGGAAAATGGTATGTTTCTCTGTCTCAAAGTACTTAACACGAATGTGCGTTTTGTAAACTTTGCCTAAAGTAATGTATTCATAAGTACAGCTATTCATAAAATTGAGTATGCTCTGAAACTAAGAACTTAAATGAGTGGTCGTATGTATATTCTTTCTCTTTCATCCAAAGAATGTAAGGTAATGTTGGTTTCACTGGAGAAAATAATATTTTCTTGAAAAGACAAAAACTTTACATTCTTTACAATTCTCAACTCATATGCTCAATTTTATGTTTATAGATTTGAATCAACAAGAAAGCTATTTACATTTAAAAAGTTTTATAAGATACTTAAATTGAGCACTAATTTCTTTTATTTACTTCTATTATTATGTTTTATATTACTGTATGTTTAATTTTCTGTGTAACTATATGTATATTATTTAGCTCAGATTAATGTCACTGTTGATGGTGGAACGCATAGGTGGGTAGATTATTTAAAAGAACAAGGTATAGATCTTTTAAATGGAAAACATTCTCAATATGTACCTAATCTAATTACTGGTGACATGGATAGCTGTTCTCCTGCAGTTCTTGAGAAGTTAAGATCTATGGGTTCAGTGATTATTGAAACACCTGATCAGGATCATTCTGACTACACAAAAGCTTTGCGTCAGTTGAGACAGTATGCCAAGAAAAAACATATAAATGTAATGTTGAATGTTTAAAATTTTTATGTGAGCAATATTTAATAATAATTACTAAAAATTATTGTTTACAGTTGAAGGCAGTATATGTATTCGTAGATTCTTCAGGAAGATTTGATCATATTGTTGGAAATATTAATACACTCTATAAAAGTGACAAACTTATTGGTCAAATACAGGTAATTATATTTTATACATTTTTATGAAACATAGGTTTTTGGATATTACATTTCTTGTGTGATAGGTGAAACTACTTTCTAGTAAAGTCTTACAATTATTCAACGTAGAAGATAGTTCTGTAAACGAATTTTGTATGTGATTTATGATAGAAAATAGTAAGGTACATGTATGAGCAAAGAAAATTAAAAGACTATAACAAATCTTAAACTATAAATTAAAAAAAAAACTATTATTTTGTTTAAAAAAATGTCAAACGATGGTAGATTATTGTAAGTAATTGAATTATTGTAACTAAAATAAACTAGGTTTCTTATTTGTGGTCACTTTACAAATCTGCAAAATTTCGCAAAAATCATCATATTACATAAGTCTTAATATTTATCATACATATTACCTTGATTAGTTCCAACCTCAAGTGTGAAGAAATGGGCATGATTGTAATAGTGCTAAAATTGATTTATTTCAGGTTATTCAAATTGCTAGTGATTCATTAACATGGGTTCTGAAACCAGGTTTTCATAGTATATCCATTCCTAATATTTTAGTACAAAATAATACTTGGTGTGGACTTCTACCAATTGGAACACCTGTCAACTGTATAAGCACAACTGGTTTAAAATGGAATTTAAGTATGTGTTAGTTTAATTACATTAATACTATATACATATAAATAATACATTATTAAACTGCAAATACTTACTTGGATTCATATTTTTCTGGATTACTTAATAATAACAGAAATTGAACAGATATTCATTTTCAATATTATGGGTTTCATAATGTTAAACAAATCTGTAATGGCTATTTTATTGAGTTTTATTCAAAGTTTTATTTTATGTCTGTTATATGTGCATGTAAGTAAAAAATTCTAAAATAGTATTTGTGCGTTGCATGTTGTAACCGAAAGACATTTTATTTTTCAGACAATGCGACTATGCAGATTGGTGGTCTAATAAGTTCTTCAAACACATATGATAATTGTTCTGAAGTAAACGTCAGTACGGATTCAGTAGTGATATGGACAATGGGTATAGACCCACTTCAGGAGAGTATGTGTAGTGTGGAATAGTGTCATCAAAGTAGATTGTCATTAGCAAATGACATTTGTATTTGACTATCTGGATTTTTTACATCATCAGTGCCTCAGGTTTCAGTATAACAATAGAATAATTTCTTTACACTTTTAAAACGAGAAAATAAAATTATTTTTAAATATTTAATATAACATATTGTCCATATTGATTTTATGCTTGCAAATATGTAATTATTTACAACCTACTACTACTATGTAATAATTCATTGTCATTCATATGCTAATTTGTACTTATTCATATATTATTTCACTATAAATTAACAATGATTTAGTACTTTACATGACAAAATTCATAAAAATCAAATTGATGAATTATCGTTGTATTATTCTAATAACTACATTGTTTGTAATATTATACGAATGCAGCAAAATCACCTGTGAGAAATCATGTGGATATTTTTTAACAAAAATTTCATTAAGGAAAAGTTATTATTCTTTGTATACTTGCTCACAAAATAAGGTTTCAGGTTTATAAAAGCATAGAAGAAAGGGGAAGGAAATTCGTTTTTAATTCTTTCAAAATTTAAGAACAATAAAATGTTTGAATAAATATACAGTTTTAAGTGTTGAATAATTAACATAAGCGAGTACGAATGATATATAAAAATATGAAAAAAATTGAAATTATTGATACACTAACAGTCTTCCAAGGTGTCAGAATATCTTTATTATGTATTTAATCGAGTTTAACACATTTAATACCGATGACTCAGATATGGGTCATGGACAGATGGTACGTAAACGTTGTTGGCTGCTGGGGATAGTCTTGTGATAATACGTTGGTCTTGAATGTGTTAATGCATAAGGAACACATCGCTAATGAGAAATGAGATCATCAAATTGCGCACATCAAGATCATACAAATATGAATGATTCTTAGGACTTATTGTTTCGAAAATGTGATAAGAGTTATTTCTGTAAACATATTATATGTATAAATATTATGAATTGTTCTGTTACCTATAGTGAATTGAGTTAACTAGAAGACATTAATTTATAGTGTGTACTTATATTTAGTTATACATATTTTCAAAGTATTTAAGAATGTTAGGAACAAACTTCTTAGTTCTTATTATGAATATTAATAAAGTGGGTAACATGACTGATTAATAGTAATGTGATGGTGATATAAATGAAGTTAAATTTATTTCTAGAAAGTCTATTCAAGCATTATAAAAATTCAAATGAAACGCATTGCCACATTAGTGTGTAGTAAGTAGCTAATATTCAGCGGTTACTTCAAATAAAATGTGTTATTTGTAGATACTTATATTATTTTGTATACATATACGTATATATTACGTATATATACGCATACATTCAGTATGTATATATTTTTATATGATGTGTTTGAGATGGGGTAGTATATCGGGCAGATAGTGATTTTATAGGAAAAAATAAATCAAGAAAGAAGATCATTTTTTCGGGTGATGCTTTGTTTGTGACACAATGAAACTTAAAAATTTTTTAAAAATCTTTAAAGTGTCTATCCATTGCAGACCCTTTCTACTTGTTGTGAGCACGAATACTCCCGTTTTAGATGAATGTTTAATTTAAACATTCAAACCCAATTTTCTCAAAGACGAAACCCGAAACGAAAAAATTTGTTGGTTTCCGACTTATTTTTTCTTATATAGTACTTCCTGGCTGGTTGTACACTTTGCTGTATGTTTCTAGTTAATCTAGTCGAAAATATTTTTCATCTTTCCTAGTTATTTATATTTATTTACATACGCATAATACTACAAACTAACTTAAATATTTTTATATAACATTACAAAACTATATGTATTACGTTTTTTGTTGTTCAACTGTTTTAAAATAAAGTACAATTTATTCATACAACACTTCTTTTATTTATGTTGATGTTACTGTACTTATGGACTTCACAGTTACACAATTAAATTAACAAATAATTGAAATTAGAATTAGATTAAAAAAATATATTTTAATTTATTTTGACTCAAACGTTACATGTGTACATGTGACATAATAAAAATATATGTTATTAAACATTGACTGTTTTTATTTCAACAATCAGTTTCATTCATTGTGGTACTGATACAGAGTAAGGTAAAATTTACGCCTATGCATTTTAAATAACAATACATAGAAACATGTACAGTCAGTTATTTCTTGTTGTGTCATGTATGTAGGTAATAATTTAGCGCTTTTCTTTGTTATTTGTACAACTAATAAGACGTTACTGTCGGTGTATGATTACAAAGATAATTGTTGTGCGTTTTTATAATATATTGCTTTTATAACATAACGCGAATTCAGAAAATAAGCTAAAACGACCACACTGCGTTAGTAGTGACTATATTTTATGTATTGTATAACTAGAAATAATAAAATTAATGTTTTTAGTAGAATATTTTCTTTTTCGTCTTCGTATATGTAAGTATTGTAGAAAAATATGTTGAAATAAAAATTTTTACGGATAAAAAAATTATTTTTTTTTTCAAAAAAAGCTTGTATTAATAATTCTAATACGGTACAACTACTAGACTGCTGGTCCTGGGTATATAGCAGTGAACTTTAAACCCTTCGTTGTCTGCTATGCATTCGAAAATAAAGTTGTTGAATGCGTGTGGAAACATCACGCTTATACATATACCTATTGTCACAGGTCAAGATTCGCGAGCAGTGACCTGCTACACGAACGGAATGCTTGTGCAGATCAACATTCTATTTTGCGGTTTATAGTTACGTTGGATCAAATTGCAGGAACAGTTTGTTTTTCTAAGGTCGTGTCACAATATGTGTAGCAAAGGATTATGATTAAAATACTATAATATATAGTGTTATATATATATATCAAATTCTTCTTATTATTATGTCTAGCTATAATTATGGAGTTGTTCGTGAGAAACGTTTAAGGCAAGGTCTATACATATAGTGTAATTTAATTGACAGAAAATATATAAGTTTGTAAACGATTTATTTTCATGATAATTCAGTACATTCTTTTTTGGTGACTCCATTATAAATATTTTTATATTATTGTACTTACAACAGATCACGTATTATATATAATACTATATAGGGATTAATTAATTAATAATATGCAAAAATGTCTTTGGTACTCTAATTGGAATCATGACAGCTAATACATAGAGTAAGTTTTATTTAAAACATTTTTTTGAATAACGAATAATTTGACAGATAGTCGCATGTAAAGAATATAATCGGTAACCCTCAATATTATATGTATTATTCTATTATAATATGTTTGTATTATATTCTAATCAGAGTCTTCACACTTTATAGGGTTGTATAAATCGAAGTTCTTTCCAATATGTCGTTGTTACGTTGATAAACGTTTTAACTTTCTTTAAAGTGGCGTACGCACTGGGATCCAATCGTTGGAAATATCGTATCCCAACAGTTGATTGGACAGATGTATTACTTACTTTATACGTTCTGTAGTCGCTGGGATAGTTTGTCAACTACCAGGATGTAGTATTGTATAAGAAAATCAGGGACGAACTTTTTTTATTACGATCGGCATACATCTTAACTACGCCAAGACATCACAATAAAACATATACAGTGGTGGACAAAAGTATTTGAACACCCTTTACAACAGAACAACTTTTTTAAAATTGGTCCGAATAACTTGAGTTCTTTTGTGAAGTTAGGGATATTAGTTTACTAAATGATGTGTATACAAAAATTGAATAAGTTGCAATTGTACCGAATCGCGAAGAAAATAGTAAAGGTAGCTTTTTACAACTTTTTAATCTGAGGCTATAATGAAATTTTAATAAATACATATCGAAGATTTATGTTAGTTATATACATACTGAAACTTTCATTGGAATTGGTTGATACAGAAACGAGTGACAGTCATCAAAAGTTGTAAGAATTGTTAGATTTACCACAGTTGTAGGTTGAAAGTCGCAAAAGACTGTGATTTTCAACATTTTTAATCCTTTGTATGTCCTCGCAATGTTAACCGATTTTGATGAAATTTTGAACATGTATATAACTAACATAAATCTTCGATATGTATTTATTAAATTTTCATTACAGTTTTAAATAGAAATGTTGTAAAAAGCAACCTTTACTATTTTCTTCGCGATTGGGACCAATAGCAACGTTTTCAAATTTTTGTTCATAAAAAAACTCAAGTTACTCGGATCAATTTGAAAAAAGTTGTTCCTTTTTAAATGGTGTACGAATACTTATGTCCCCCAATTTACGTATTCATTTTCAGAGAAATATTTATTTTCTAATATTCTAATTGTTTTTGTGTACACATTTCTAAAAAACATACATTACCCTGCGTAAGTTTACTCTTATCGATAGGGTGTTTCGCAAACTTAAGTACAGTATGGAACAGAGTGGTAGAACGCATTGAAAGAGACAAAAGAATCATAGTGAACTTATGTCCGGAAATGAATCGTTTTAGATATGTTTGAAATTTGTTTACAAGCGAAGTTTTATTTGGTTGTCAGCTGGCGTAGCTACTTTTGAGTGTTACATTCACAGATAATAATATTTTTTTGAAGCAAACTATTATAATTCCTCAATTGAAAGCGTCTCGATGTATAGTGCATTGTTCAAGAATTATAATAATCAAAACAATAAATAATAAGTACTATTGTTAAGGCTTTTTTCACGGGTTTATGAGACGGACGTTTGGAAGACCGCTACTTTTGGAAACAAGGAAGGCACCGTGAGCAGACCATAAATTCGTCAAGTTGTTTTTTGTGATTCCCAATGTCTGCTGCTCACGTGTGTCTCCTAACGGCTCAACCGGATGTCCACTATACATAACCATTGACGTATCTTAAACTCCAAAGAAACGAGAAGAAACTCGTCTGTTGAAATTTTGTTATCAATTAGAATTGCCCGAAATATCGTGGTTTACCATTACGCAGAACACTCGCTATACTGGGCGGTCTGCTAGAATCACCTTCATGCCTTTGCTGAGTATATAAATGTTATAACAAGATATATATTATAGGAGATAGACAGTTATAACGGACACATACAACACAACACAGAACTTATTTTTTTATCTTATGACGATGATTGGAGTTGCGATCAATACGATGACCAGAAATACCATTTATAGTTTTGTCAGTCAAAACGTGAATTTTCTTAGATTCCTATAT